ATACACAAAAAATATTTTAGAAAATTTTATATCCTTCCCTTCCTTCAAAAATTTCTTTCCCAAAATACATAGGGCCTTTATCCCCAACCCCCCCCCCCCCATGTTTCCTGTTTTTATTCAAAGTAGGAAGTTGTTCTCTGGCAGGTCAGACATGGATGACTTTTGGACTCCTTTAGTTCAGCAGGGGTAATAAGCAAGGAAATCAATGTTACAATAAATGGCTGATCCTGCTGGATTGTTTGTGGCGTGGACTTGTCAACCAATTGCCTGAAATAATAACTTTTTCCAGAACAGTAGCTCTGTTATTCTGCTGCAGCTGAAAACAAGAACAAATCTTGTGACACCTAAAGACTCAGACATGTATTAAGACATAAACAACTAATGAAGTAGATTGTAGTTCACAAAAGCGGTGCCGTGATAAATATGTTATTCTTTAAGCTGCCCTGGGACTCCTTGTGGTATTTATGGAATGGTGAGCATGTCGCAAGGGTTGAGTTCATAGCTGTCCTCGGATGTGTATGTATTAAACACACAGTGGCCCCTATGGAATTCTACTCCAAAAACCTGTAAGACCTGCATTGCAGAACAAGAGGAAGAGAAGAAGAAGGAGTAGTCCATAACTCTAAAAGGAATGCCCCAAACACAAGAATATAAGAAAGTTACAGCAGTATCTGTTATGTACCTTATGCTAACTGGATGTACCTCGGATAATCTATTTTCATAGCAGAAAATCTCAAGGAAGTCAGATCTTCCCACAAGTTTATTGTGGCATTCACATCCACTAAAATCTACGAAAGGTTTTGCAATATCTGGAACGGATTTAAATTAAGTACTTGGAATGGTAAACCAATCTGTTTTAGAATGGGCAGAAATGTTTTCTGTAATGTAATTAAATTACAAATGCACAATGAAGTGAAAATGTTGAGATAAAAAACATTTCTATACCACTTGCGCTTGTGTGGTGGGGGTAGGAAGATGTCATGAATAGACAAGAAAGTCCAAGAGAGGCTTTGTACCTTCATGCTTAAGTGTCTGGATGAAAGTTTTCCATTCCTGCACAGGTTTGAAGCTTTAATCATGGGGGAATTGGCTCATATTTGTCAACCCCCCTGCGAATGGGACAGGTCTTGGCAGAAACATGTGGATCCTCTACAGGAGGATCAAGGTGTTCGAATGACATCTTAATTTATCATAGAATTAAAACAGATCTCAGATATAATCTTGCCCGCCTTCTGTTTGGGGCTGGATCTGCTAAAGCATTTGGGCTACCCAGCCTCTTTGAACACCTCTGAGGAAGAGGAACACAACCACTTCATGAGGCAGCCAATTCCACTGGTTGACAAGTCTTACCATGAGAAAAGTCCCCCTGATGGCTATTTGGAATCCCTGTAGTTTCAACTCACTGTTTCTGCATGGCCTCTGGGGTCTCTTCATCCTCTGTATGACAACCTTTTAGATATCTGAATACTGCTATCCAATTGCCCCTCAGTCTACTCTTCTGCAGACTCAACATATCTAGTTCCTTTAACTGTTCCTTATAGCAGGGTTCCTCAACCTTGGCGACTTGAAGATGCGTGGACTTCAACTCCAAGAATTCCCCA